GGCAACAGCCTGATCAAAAATGCAGTCATGCGTACCATGCAACTTTCACCACAAACTACGAGTTTTCAAACCATGTGTCATAAAAGTACAATTGAATTTCAGTAAAGCTCAAATAAAATTTCACCAGCAATTTAAGTGAAAAATGATTTATTCTGTTAGTTTCCATATGAAATTCGAATAAAATAAATGTTTTTTTATTTAAATTGCTTTCGCGAAACTGGCTGTTAATGTTTCAGAAAAAAAGTATATGCATATTTCAGAAGACGAGTTTTCTAAATACTTTGCAATTTGTTAATTTCTAGTTAAATTTAAAGCAATATTGAATACTTTAATAACTATGATGTATTTGCCTGTATTTTATTATCCTTTCTATACCCTTTCTATTATTATAATCAAAATGCATACCAATGCATAAGTTCGTTCGGGCCTATGGATCCTAGGCCTGATCTTGTTGAAAATCTAAGGGGTGTTTGGTTCTGTTTTAACGGCTAGGTTATTAGCATTCAGAATAAATCCAACAATTTTATTGAGCTTGGGGCCGTTTTTTATGGAAAATGTTGCGGAAAAGCAACAATAATTTACAAAGGTAAGAAGTTATAGCTGCTATTTGGGAGATCACCACATCTACTAATCAGACTTCTTCAATCGCGGTCACTGAGGAGATGTGGCGATCTCCGAAATAGCAGCTACAACTTCTACCTTTTGTAAATTCTTATTGATTTTCAATAACATTTTTCATAAGAAACGGCCTCAAGCTCAATAAAATTGTTGGATATAATTCTTATAAGGCAATAAATAACAAAAAAAAAAAAATCTGAATGAATAATAAATTTAAGGTCAGTCAAACAAACCGAAAGAAAGTCGGACAGTCTCCTTAAAATCGGTGTTTAAAACATCGGTAAAACTTCCATCGTTGTATCGTCAATTTCGCGATGTTAGTAAATTGTAAATATCGATGGCAAACATCGAAAATTGAATCGATATTTCAAAAACATCGATGCATCGTTTGTATCCCTATTTGTGTGTGGCCGGGTGTGTGTGCGCCGAGGAGATGCGTTCCCTGCGACATGTGTGTGTGTATGTATGTACGTATGTGCGTCTATACATACTAGCTAGTAGTAGTTGACAGCGCAGCAATCAGCAGACGTCAGCCCACAGTCGCTATTGACGCATCCACTGATCTGCTCACTTTTAAATAAGCAGTCACCAGATAAATCCAATTAGTCTGATATTTGTACTTTTTCTACTATGATTCGCATTAAAAACTTTGTAGCTACTCAGTTACTAGTGTTACAACAACTACATACATTGTTGTTGCTTTTAATGCTGTTGACAACGTTGATGCTTTGTTGTTGTCATTATTGGCATTGTTAAGCTTAAACGATGTGCCAAGAACGGCAGCACACAAAGGACATCCCGCTTAGATGTCACCTAAGCCCCGCAAGCAAGAGGAGTTAGCCAACGGCCGCGACGATGAGCCGATGAGCCGATGAGCCAATAATGTTATGATAACAAATTCAGCTGAATGCAATAAAAATCCAGACACCAATGCAAAACCCCCGCAGTAGAATAAAAGGTAAAGGGGAGATGAAAGTACTTGTAACTATTCTTAGCGACCGGATCGAGCAGTGCAGTGGGTATGATATTGTCACACAAAGGGGACGGACCGGACCTACAGTTTGACGCCGACTCCGAACGGCGATTTTACTTTTATGAGAAGCTGTTTTTTTCATGGCACTAATACACTCGAAGGTTTGCCATCGCCCGCCGAGGAGCGACCGTTCGCGATGTCTCCTTGACCAGGGCTTGAACCCAGACCCTGCGGAGACAAAACTAGCAAATAAAAAATGAATCGAATACAGCTACAAATTCTTCGACTTTTCTTCAAGAAATCAATGTTGAACTTTGCTCTGATCCGACACTGAACTCATGATCTACCAATTGATAGCTAATAGCTCTCAGCTATTCAGCTGGAACAAACAGTTTTCCATATATTTAAGCAAGTATTCTTACCAATGAGATCAATATGAATTTTCGCATACAAAAATAAGAAAAATCTATGAAAATGTCTTGGTTTTTTTCCGTCTGCCATACCCTTTCGTTTGGAACCATTCATAAAAGTCACATCCCAAAAAGTGTGTTTTTTTTTTGCCATAAAAATCTTCTGCCGTGAGAGGGTTCCGTCATTTGTGTGGCAACATAAATTTGAAGGGGAAGATCGGCCAAGCACTAAGCAAATGTGTTAAGCGTCAAATTCATGTTATTATTATTGTGATCGTTAAACGGATTTTTAAGATCAAAAAACTTGCAAAAAAAGGCAAAGTAGGCCAACGAAACGGGCAGGAGAAGGCGCAAGAATCGCAAAAAAGGAGAAAACGGCACTGGCGGCCGAAAAATAGGCCCCCACGTGAGCTAATGCAAGTGGTGCACAATTTAAATGGGGATCATACGATAGATTCAAATTTTCAGGAATAAAAGCGCAGTTACCCAAGAACGTGTACGTAGCGTAGCGTAGAAATGCGTAGAAACACATAGTTGCAAAAACTCACCACCGTAGAATGAACGCAGGAATCAGCTGTTCTCTTTTGTATTTTTCTTTGTGTTCTGTTTTCGTTTCACATATTTTGGTAAACAACAGCGGTAGCATGATGGAAGCAGAAAGTGTTGAAATCGACGAATTATTTTTAAATTTGTGTGAATTATACAGATTGTATAAAGAATACAAACACAAAAAAAGGAACAGGAGGTACGGAGTTCGCCCATTAAATCAAAATTGGGCAGCAAGCGGCTATCAGCGCCAAGTTTTTCGGCGAATGAGGTCTATGGATGCAGAACAAGTGTTTTTACATACACGAATGCCCCCGCCTGTATTTGACCTACTGCTAAACCTAGTCGGCAACTCCTTACGGAAACCAAAACAGCGGATAGATTCTGAAGAAAGACTTTCTTTGGTTTTGCTGTAAGTACGTTATAATTTGTCAATACATATACATATAAAATACACAGTAGTTTGCTATTTCATCTTTAGATATTTGTCACAAGGAGTATCAATTCAGAGCATCGCTTGGAGTTACAAGTTAGGCAAAACAACAGTGCGCAATATTGTATTAGAAGTATGTGAAATAATCTGGCAGTTGCTTTCTCCAATTTACGTGAGCGAACCAACAGAATCGCAGTACAAAGATATTGCTAAGGAGTTCCTTGAGTTATGGAATATTCCTAACTGCGTTGGTGCAATTGATGGCAAGCACATTGCCATTAAATGTCCTGCTAATTCAAGTTCGCTCTTCTATAACTACAAGAAGTTTTTTAGTATAGTCTTGATGGCCGTATGTGATGCTAGATATACGTTCACAGCTGTCAGCATCGGAAGTTACGGCAGTCAGAGTGATGGAGGTAAAACCTTTTTAAAAGTTGTATATAATAAAATGCATTAATATTCACTCTTTTGCAGGAATCTTTCAGCTTTCTCCCTTTGGACAAGCATTAATGCAAAATACATTGCCATTACCTCCTGCTGTACCCTTATCAAGGGAATCCCCTGAATGTTTTCCCCATTTTTTTGTGGGTGATGCTGCGTTCCCCCTCAGAACAAATTTAATGCGTCCGTATCCCGGTTCTAATTTATCGCGAACTAAACGAATATTTAATTATCGACTCTCGCGGGCACGCAGAGTCATAGAAAACAGTTTTGGTATTTTAACTGCTCGGTGGCGGATATTGCGAACCACTATTGAGTGTAACCCAGAACACTGCGAAACAATAGTTTTGGCTTGCATTGCTTTGCATAATTTTATAATGCTGAACGATCAAAGTCGTTGGTATTGCCCAGAAAATTACGTTGACCGCGAAGAGGCTGGCAACGTAGTCCATGATGGAGATTGGCGTCGCGAATTAAGTAATCAGCACACCTTACCACCTTTGCGGTCAGCAGTGCGTAGAGCTCCAGCAAATGCGTTTAGCCTCCGTGATCGGCTCGCAAATTACTTCATTAATGAAGGATCCTTGCCGTTTCAGGAGAACATAGACTTAGCCATAGGTGGACCTTACTTATGAAATGCATTAATATGTGAATAGGAAAGCTTTACTTTCTATAAAATTGACCAACTTTCCTTAAAAACATTAGTTTCGTAAACTAAAATAAAATGTATTTATGTATACATAACAATTCATTCCTTACATGCCTGGATATATGTAGCTGCTGTCAAAATAAAAGCACCAAAATTCAAAATGATATTGTTTGCAATTCATGTTTATTTATTTTTAATAATTTTCATTTTAAATACAGTTTGTCCTATAACAGAAACCATATAAATAAAGTTTGAAAGTTTACACATACATACATAGTTAGTTTTCAAAAATTTATAAAATTTTCAAAAAAAATCAAACTCCTCATCTAGAATTTTTTAAAAAATTTCCGAGTATGTATTCATTTTAGTATAATAAAGTTCAAGTTTCAGGTCGCTAAAGATCACCGTTCATTTTTTAGATTTTTTTTCTTTCATATAAAAATAAATTTTGTTGATGCGATATATGAAAGAAAATGCTCAACTTCTTCGGCAAAAAAATTCTAAAAAATCAACGGTCATAATAATGCACATACATACATAACTTCAAAATCGTACATTACATTTTTTTAATTTTTGAAAACGTTAAAAAAACTTAAAAATAATTAAAAAAATCGAGTACGCAGTTTTATAGCCCATTCAATTTTAGAATAACAATGTGCAGACTTTAAGTGGCTAAGAAGTCGCTTTGATTTTTAACTATTTTTTTTTGCTGTCTGTTCTACACATTTTCCTTCATACATTGTATAAGCGAAACTTTTTTTATACGGAACATAATAACAAACAAATGGTTTGCATGGTATATATGCACATAAAAGTGTGTATGCATACATATACTATGTATAGTCATGTGTGAGCACATATACCCTGTGTTCAGAAATGCATCAAACGAAAGCATCAGTAAGAAAGTATATCAGTATCAGAAGCAGGAAGAAATCAGTATCAGTAAAGAATCAGTATATCAACATCAGCAAGGAAGTGTAATTGATCGTATTGTCCAATATGCTCAATCACGGTTAAATGCCGAATTGGAACTTAGTTACGCAAATAAGGCATTTCCATCAATTGTAGTTTTGAAATAAGAGACTGATGCTTTAGCTTGATGCATTTCTGAACGCGACATACTTATCTATGTGTGGTACTATAAAAAATAAAATAAAATAAAAGTTAAATCCACACAAATAGCAATTTCACTACATAAACGTATGCATGAATACATTTTTTTGTCTGTATACATAACTATATATGCGTACATATGCAATGAATGAATAAAAACACGTAAAACTGCATATACATACATATGTACATAAACATGTAAGCATAAGTCTACATACATAGATGCAAATACAAAATACACATACAAACTATTAGTCAGGCTCCTGCTGTACCTCAAATGCCACCTCCATCATGCGTTGCATGGCCCGCGACTGTTTCGCTGCAGTCATCTTTGATATTATTGATATCATCATCATTCCAAAAGAATTCAAAGCTGGATTTGAGTGCTCTTCTCTAGCTGCACACCTTGTTTTGAATAACTCAATGGCCTCGTACATGCTCTTATCAACATCAATATTGCTACCACGACGCCTCGTACCCCTTGAGCGGTTCGATTGCAATAATACTGGTGATGAAGACGGCGGCGATGGTAGTTGCACTTGAATTTGCGGCGATGGTGAGGGCAGCGAAACTGTTGTCGGAGGCGACGGCGATGGTAGGTGCACTTGAATTGGCGGCGATGGTGAGGGCAGCGAAACTGTTGTCGAAGGCGACTGCGATGATAGTTGCACTTGAGTTGGCGGCGATGGTGAGGGCAGCGAAACTGTTGTCGGACGCGACGGCGATGGTAGTTGCACTTGAATTGGCGGCGATGGTGAGGGCAGCGAAACTGTTGTCGGAGGCGACGGCGATGGTAACTGCACTCGGACTGGTGGCGATGGCAATAGCTGTGGCGGACTCCCAGTAATCCCCGTTGATGGCGAAGATGCTGGACAAATATTTCTCGAACACCGAAATCTGGAAATAATTATAAATATTAACTGCATGTATATATGCACATATTTACATATACTTTTATACATACATATGTATGTGCATTTGTACAAACATACATATATATATATATACATACTCTTTTGTGAAACTTACGGGCAAGGAACAACGTGCGGCTTCAGAAATCGAAGTGCCTCTAGCAAATACCATGGCCTGTGGTACTGCGAGCCACTGCCTGATGGCGCTGATTCCTTTCGCACTTCACGTCCATATCGGTCACGAAGCGCTGCCCATCTGCGCATGCACATCTCGGCTGCAAAGATGTTAATATACAAGTATGTTATAGTTTTACATATTTTACTTAAATTTCCACTTACCTGTTGAATTGAGCTCCCTGGCGATTTGCTCCCACAGCATTTGCTTCCTGCCGGCTAATTTATAGCAGGGGTTGCTTTTATCGTACAACTCCTTATTATTTTGTACGAAAAGAATTAGCTTTTCGTCGTCCATTACAATTTATATAAATTTTGGTTGCAACTTGTTTGTTTCTTTCTTCTTTATTGTGTTCTTTGTATACATTTACGCAGAGTTGCCAGTGATACATATGTTCGCAAGCTTTCGCTAACATTTATCATTTAAGTAAGTATTTTTGATAATTTAAACGATATAGAGTTATATTACAAACACTCAGAAAGCATAACATTTAATAAAATACTATTTTCAATAGAAATTTGTTATTATATTAAGAATAACTTAAATATTTCTCAACTTCATTCAAAACAATTTCAAACATTGTGTACTGGCAACTCTGAGCAAAGAGTAGGAGAGAGAGAGAAATCAGCTGACACGTTTCTACGGAAAAAATCAACTTCGCGCGGATTTCTACGTCTACGTCTACGTCTACAGAAAAATTCTACGTTCGTGAGTTTTCATTTACATGACGTTCTCATAAGATAGATCGTGTCAGCTGACACGTTCTCCGTTTTTACGTCCGTGGATAACCGCGCTTTAAGGGTATGGTCCACACTCTTTTTTTATTTTATCAACGGGCCTTAGTGTCACTAAAACTTGATTGAATCCGAAGCGAAAGTTGCTACACAAATTTCAATTTCTTTGAACTGCGCTATTGAGAAGAAACCACAAGATAAGTTGAGGAAATCTCTAAGAACCTCCCAGTCAAATATATTTGGGATGAATTCAAGAAGAATTGTGAAGAATTATTATAATGACTCGATACTAACGAAAAAAGCTTCAAAACCAAATGCAAACTATTTTCGAGATGCTAATGGATAGGATTTGAAATTAAAATCTTCCTCAGCTTACCTTGCGTTGACCGAGGACTGAGCAGCTCCGATTTCCTCCATAGATTTCCTGTGAAAATTATAAAAAAGTGATTAGGTAAATACATGTGTACATAAGTACATATGTATGTATGTATATTTGTATAATATTTAAAGATAGTGAGTTCATGATGGGGGAGAGGCATACAAAACACACAGAATTGTAGCTTACTTGAAAATAATAAATACTAGTATCTTACCTGTCACCCCAGCATAGCGCATCTTCGCGATATCTGGAAAAAAAAAACAATGGGATGATGAAAATATTTGGCTTTTCAATATATACTCGCACATATGTAAGTATGTATGTATGTAGATAATTATAACACTGAGAAAAAACAAACAAAAACAGTTATGTGATGGTTTCTTGCACTAAACGCATGTCTTCTCTTGCGCTAAATGTCAGATCATCGAACATACCTATTACATTTAAAATATAAGGATTTCCACTAGGAATTAAATGAAAAATATTTTAGTGACAAAGTTGGGCATTAAAAAATACTTTCGTCATTTCGTTTCTAAAAATAGTCAATTAGTTTAGTTCAGATATTTTTTGTCGTTTCAATGCCAATTGGAAATTCAGCATAACGACGACATATGTATGTACATATGTACATTAGACTGCATCACCAAAAAAAGTTGCGGTTTTTCCGCCGGGATTACAAAGTTTATTATATTTTAAGACGTATACCCAAATATTTCGGAAAAATATTAAGTCACTGGACCGATTTGAAAATACCTCCAAAAATTTAGTTTTTTTATGAATAAAAATAGTCTCTTAAAGAACTTTTTGAAAAAAGTCCCCTCAGATGACAAAACAAATTAGGCTTAAAAATTCTGCATAAAAATATTTAAAAATCTTTTCAACGGAATCGTAATAATGAGAATTTTGATGCTGTTTTTTTTACTTTTTTCAAAGATTGAATTACGAAAATCTTGAATGACTGGGCCAAAACTATTCTGATTTAGACTTATGGGATCTCGGTAGAAAGGTATTTTCCCACTATTTTTATTTGTGTGCAAAAAAAGTCATTCGTGTCGCAATATTTTTTTTTTTTCAAATACCAACACATTTTAATTCAACTTTGAATGATATTCGTTCATCCTACCTTTCTCTTTCATCCTTTGAATGAGTTTATTAGCAAAGAAATATTTTTGTGGACGTCTTAAAATATAATAGATTTTATAATTCCAATGGAAAAACAGTACCGATTTTTTTTTGTATGGGGAGTGATGTAGTCTAATGTACATATATATATATATCGATTTAATTTTTTAAAAGTTGGCCAGATGATAGCTTTACCTCACTTGAAGCGCTTTAAAGTTTCGAATAGCCGAAATCTCTATTTGACATCGCTTTTTGGTGAAGTATGTGTGTATGTAAATACACTAGGCGACAAATGAAAGTGTACACCTTGTCCGAATATAATATTAACAATTATTTTCATAGTTCTAAAATATAAACTGTGTAAATCAAAGTTCAATGTATGAAATTCACAAAAATTTAAAAAATTTCATCATCAGAATTTTCAACTTTTTATTCAAAGCTACGAGTATGCAATTTTTTGTGACGATTTTTGCACTGCTTTCTTTATACGAATGAGTTACCAATGAAATAAAATGCGGGAGACCGTTCGCAACAAAATGAAAAAAAAAACCGAAAAAGCAGTCTCAAAAAAAAAAAAATCTCAAACATCAACGCAATTTTTTAGCCGGTTGAGACTTGCACTTTGTTAGACTAAAACGGAATGGGCTACAAACCTGCGTACACGAAAATTTTCTAGAAATTCTGAATAAAAAGTTGAAAATTTTAATGAATTTTTTTAGAAATTTTGTCAACTTTATATAAAGTGTGAAATTTTGATTTATATGGTTTATATATAGAATCTTCATAAATAATTAAAGCATGAAAATAATTGTGAATATTATATTAGAATAAGATGTACACTTTAATTCTAAATGAATGCAAACAATTTGCTATCGACTTTTTTAAAAATATTTTGCATTGCTAAAAATGATGCAAGCGTTTATAGACATATGTAGGCACATGAAAATAAATATCGTAAATAGAAAAAATGTTTGCATATTAGTTTGTTTCCATATTAGTTAGAGTTTTTTTTTTAGTAAATGAGAAGTTTGGGGGAAAATAGTTCTTAATTTTAGGAGAATAGACTTTGACAGCGTTCTAAGCCGCCATTTGGTCAAATAGGTTTTCAAAGTAAATCACAGCAAATTAAAGTAAGCAAGGCTTGTAAAGTCAGCCTGCATTGGACCAGTACCTTAGTTTATTAACAAGCGATATATAAAATTAGATTTAAAATGGTCGATGACAGTTAAGGCTCAGATGGACTTATGTATGTATATATCAGAAGAGTAATTTTTGTGAAAATTGCAGATAGATCATATGGAATATAGTACATAAGTAAGCCTTCGATAAGGAAATTTAAAACAAAAATCTGAAACTTTCAACCATCTATTTTTTGTCCACTTCAGTGGTAGTTTGAACCTGTTATCAAACGAATTTATTTTGCCACTAGCTTGTGCTGTGTCCCGGTTATTAAAAAAAAAAGTAAGTGCGCCTGGGCCACACTGGAGGAATGAAACTTACGTTACGTATGTACATATCTATTTTGTCTCATAACCAATATACATACATATGTACATACATACATACATACATCTGCTTTTGCTTAAGGTAATATTTTTTTGTTTTTTTTGCTATCTAGATCCCTACCTCTGCCCCTGTTCATTCTAACTACATTTATGTTATTCTGTTTTCCTTTCTCTTCATTTTAATGTTTATACTCTATCGATAACAAAATCGCTAGTAACATCCTACAAAATATCCAACAGATATCGATGAAAAATTCGATGAAAATTTCGATAGCAAAATCGATAATAATATTGGTAGCAAAATCTATTAGAAACCCGATAAAAATATCGATAAAAATATCGATAAAATTATCCATAACAAAATCGGTAACAAAATCGTAAAAAATATCCATAACTAAATCGATAAATATCGACGTCAAAATCTTTAAACAAAATCAATAACGAAATCGATAAATATCGACACCACAATCGATAGATATCGATAACAAAATCGATAAATATCGATAACAAAATCGATAAAAATATCCATAACAAAATCGATAAAAATATCCATTACAAAATCGATAACAATATCGATAAAAAATGGATAAATATCGATAACGAAATCGATAAAAATATCGATAACAAAATCGTTAAAAAGTATCGCTAACAAAATAGCTAAAAATATCGATTACAAAATCGATAACAAATCGATAAAAGTATCGATAACAAAACCGATGAAAATATCGATTATTTTATGGATAAGTCCCGAAAATCACGAAATTCTCTAAAATCCCAAAATAGTTCCCAGATTAAGTCTCTGTGTCTCTCCCTACAATTGAGGCCGCTTTTCATATAACGGTAAATTTCAGAAATTTCGATATTTCGAAATTTAAGGACGCTAATTTACTTAAAATGTATACACCCCGGCTTATCATGTAGCGGTAGCTTTCGGAAAGGTGGAAAACATATATTTAATACTTGCGCCGGGTATTTAATGTTCGGCTCCGCCCGAACTTAGACTTTCTTACTTGTTACCTTTGCCTTTATCCTTTTCTTTATCTATGTACGTACTCACCTTTACTTTCATTATTGTATTGGTATTTTTCTAAGTGTTATTTTTTTACCTTTTATTAGCAAATTTTTGTTAAATTAATACCACTTGTTTCAGCCCCAACCATTTCCGTTGCATCATTTCCGTTGCACCATTTTCGTGTGCAATTTTCTTTGAATTTGCCAATTTACTCCCAACCAACCAACCGCCGCTAAAGAAGTTTCACTTCAAAACTGTACTGTAATATCATCAATCAGGAAAGGTAATGCCGTAGATATTTAGCGTATATACATATCTATGTACATAGATAATTATACGAGTACTTATCCTGCGGGCTCCTGATTCATTTTATAAATATAAAATGGGATTGAATAATAGTCAGATTTTCCTGCAGGGAAGCTAAAAACAACAGGCTAAAACACACATACATATGTATGCACATACCTACATACATACTTTGCACTTCCGATCAGTTTGTTTTCGTATCGAAAAGGATGTTATTGATGTTCAATAATAGATACCATTTGGCTGAGAAGCCGATTATTATTGAACGTAAACGATTCTCGGAACACAAGCAAGAAGTGGGACACCAATAATGGCCTGAATGGTGATCTAACACACACATGCGTACATACATATGTACATTCTCATATACATTACTAGTATATCCCAAAAATTCGCAACATTCATTCATTCAAGTCCGGTTTAGGATCGTTGATCTAAGGCGATTCTCTAACCTCTACCTTTACCACTACTACGTATGCTAAATATATATATGTACTAGGAATGCTAATCCCGGGATCCCGCACTTTTTAAGGTCTCGAAAATCCCGGGATTCTTGGCAAAACCGCGTAACTGACATTTGCTGCCAAAAATTGGATTTGAAAAATTAGTGTTTTTACTCTCTAAAAAATAATTTATTCAACCTCACATACGCGGTTTTACACTTTAAATGACGATATAACACCGCGCGATAGTAAATTTTAAACACAAATATCAATTTATACGCGAGTTTTTCACTCTGACATCAGTAAGTCAAAAATGATTTAAAAAATTCATAGAAATGTGCTTAGAGAAGAAGTATGGGTATAAAATTTATGAGGAAATCCTGTAGAATTTAAGCAGATTCAAGTTTCTGGTGCAGAAGGGCTAGTAAATATTGAAAATGTCATTTTAAACTTTTATCCTTGGAATTTCGCAATATTTGTTTTTGAAAAAATTACGTGTTAAGGGTTTATATAAACTCGATAACAACCTCGAACTTCGTTCTTCTAACTTTGCCAGCTTAAAAATTACCTATTCGTCCTTGTGAATCCAAAAAATTAAAATTTTTTAAATTCTAAAGAAATTTCATATTGCATTTGTTACCCGTATTTTTATTCTATATTGCATTGAATTTTTTTTAATAATTTTTGGAATTAACCATATCTTTGAAATAACAAAGTCCTTCAAAATAAATCCTGCGGTCAGAGAGAAAAAATAAAAACGTCACTTTGAATAAAAAAGTTGTCTTCAAACCCATTTATTTATTATTTATTTCATGGTAGAAGAGCTTCTCAAAGAATATAGAAGCAATTTTTATACCCG